AAAAAAAAAAAAAAAAAGAAAGATGCATTGATTAGAAACAACAGAAAAGAATGGCAACTATTGCTCAGTGGTTAGGGCACCGGCCCCATGTACCAAAGGTGGCAAGTTCAAACCCGGCCCTGGCCACCTAAAACAGCAGTGGCATCTGTAAGAAAAAATAGCCAGGCATTGTAGGGGGCGCCTATAGTCTCAGCTAGTCAGGAGGCTGAGGCAGGAGAATTGCTTAAGTCCAGGAGTTAGAAGTTGCTGTGAGCTGTGATGCCACCACACTCAACTGAGGGCAACAATAACACTGTCTCAGAAAAAGAAAAGAAAAAGAAACAACAGAAAAAAAATGTATGTATCAGAAAAAAAATGTATGTAGCCTCTACAGCATGAGGCTTTGGATTCTGCATTTCAACCCTCTGATCTACCATGGCTTCTCCTCAGTCCCCAGCAACCAGTCTCACCTTTTCTACTAAATTGTACATAAACTCCCAATTTCGCTACCCAGGACCATCCCTTCCCCTTGATTTATTTCCATTTTAAGTTGAACTGTGTTCTTAGCTTTAGAGAGGCTAGGTGGTTTGAGGCAGAATTTTGCTTACAGGTTTCTTCTCTTTTTCTCTGATAGGCTTGTGGAATATACTCGTGCTGATGGCACAGTTGGTCGAAGAGTGAAGCCCTACATCATTGACCTTGGCTCAGGCAATGGCACCTTCTTAAACAACAAACGTATTGAGCCACAGAGATACTATGAACTTAAAGAAAAGGATGTACTCAAGTTTGGGTTCAGTAGCAGAGAATATGTCTTGCTCCATGAGTCATCAGATACTTCTGAAATAGACAGGAAAGAAGATGAGGATGATGAAGAGGAGGAGGAAGTGTCTGACAGCTAGCAAGCTAAGAACCCAGGTTACTGAGACACCTTTTCCTTCTTGGAAGGCTTTGATTCCGAGAGCATTGTGGTGCTCTCTGTGATGCCTCTTATTGCCTTAAGTCTTTCCTCTGTTGCTGACCAGCTTATGTTACAATTTATGAACACTGACATATGTTTTGTTGAACTTTCTATGGCACATCAGCCACATGCCTGGGGCATTTGTTTTCAGAACAGTCTCACCAATTGTACAACACATCGTGTTTTAGTAGAAGTGTTGTGGCTTTAGTTGGTGCTTTCAGAACTGCTGCCCTAGGAAACTGTAAATCCTCGGTTAAGGGGGGAATTGTGGCTTGTTCTCTTTTGTACAGTTACTTTATTTATATACATAGTTGTTAAGCTTTGTGACCAGGTGTTTTTGTTTTGGGGCAAACCCCTGAGCAGAGAATCTTACTAAGCTTTGGTTATCACCAAAACAGCCTCCAGTATATACCAAAGCTTTGATCTGGTTGAGCTCTTGAGTCACAGAAGTTGATTTTGCACTTAGTTTTTTGCGGGTGGGAATTTATTGCAGCCAATAAACATTATTAACTGTTTAACTTAAACAGATGCTTTATAGCACCTGCTTAAGCCTACAGACTGTACAGAAGGATCATGGCTACCAACAAGGGGTGCCAATTTAATGTCATAAGGGACTGAAATAGGTGTGAATCTGTTCTCCATGAGAGAATTCCAGATTTCTCCATGGAGATGTACATAACAATTTTGATCACATTAACTGTTCTTCAGTTTTTCATTTTTCTTCAGATGTCATCTCCTTTCTTTATTCTAACAACATGTGTGTATGTCTAAAGGAAGTTGTTTTGTTTACATATTTCTACATGTTTTATCTTTAAAAAATCGTTCAGAGAGGTTGTATTTACCTTCCCAAGGCTGGAAAGCAGGGGAATTCCCATTTCCTAATTTTCCACCAGAGGAATATGTGTGAGTAGAAAAGTATTAACTACTTACATACAGTGTGTATGTATGTACATATATAAATTGTGTGTTAAAAGAGCTGATACTGGTTTTCATATGACAATGTTAGGCAAAGGCCTCCCTGCATTTGAAGAGCAGGTTTTCATTTATATGTATTTTTGGGATAGAAAATAAAATTTGTAAATATAGCCCCATTTCAAAGAGTAATACTTTCCTAGCATAGAAGACCTTGTGCCATAGGTCTGTTTGCTGCTAAAGGAAACTTTATACCAGTATTTTTAAGATTAAAGAGGTAATTGTGTAGGGTGTTGTGGGACTGGTTATATGTAGTTGGCTTTCACCTAGGTGAACTCCTAGTCCCTGCTGTTTTATCCTCAGGGGGTGGGTTGGGGAGAAGGGAAATGATGCAACTCACTGCTGCTACTAACTATTCCCTTTGGGTTGAAACTTACGATGCCACTAAAAAGGATTGCCCTCTTTGCAGTTGTTTTTACCTTACGGTCTCAACATACGTGTGTGTGTGTGTGTGTGTGTGTGTGTTCAGGGCTGAAGGTTAGCTAGTGTGGGGAGAAGCAGCTAATTTTCATCCAAAAGATGTTAAAAGATCCCATTTGGAGAGCAAATACTTAATATGAAAGGTAAGATGAAGGGTGTGTTCTACACTGTCCACTGTGTTCCTCATTTTGTTATGTGCATATGTGAAAAGTTTTATTTTGATGAATTTTTCTCTTGATCCAGACTGCTGGTTTTCTCTCTTCTGGGATTAGACACTAGTCTGGTGTCCCATTCCAGGTCCTCCATATTCAGTTTGTGCTGCTAGTGCTTCCTAGTAGCCTTGAGCTTTGCTTCAAACACCATCCTGCTGGGCACTGTGACAGAGGTCCCAAAGCTATAATTAGTGGAGAAATAGCTCCTGGATTAAGAGATTCTTCATGCCACATATCTGGGAGAGGTGTTCTTTTTTGTTTTCTCCTTCCCACCCCTTTTTGGAAGAAAGAACATCAAAGAAAAGGCACTACTCATCTCTACAGCCAGATATCACCAGCAGACATCTCGATGTAAAGTTGATATCCTAAAGCTTTGTTCTTGAACTAATGCATTCTGATTAGAAACTCATGCTTATCTTCCCTATTTGCACCTTCTTTATTCTCTACCTTTACCATGGCTTATTTGCAAATCATTGTTGTCAAAATCAAACTATTTTCAAAATAGTCCTTTGCTTCTAATCCCCACCCCTAAGTCCTCTGTGATGGTCCACGGTTCTGTGGAGATATGGAACAGAATCTTTAGATTCTCCCCTTTGAATCTTTTCCTAAACATATCCTGGTTCCCTCATTCTAACATTGACAAAGGACGGCTCAGTAGGAGCAACTAGTGATGTAACTTTCAAATATCGTTATTGTTTCCTGGTAATAAGGTAAAGCAGAAATAATGGAGATACGAGAAGATTTTTAAGCAATTTTTTATATTGTATCAAGTATGCTAGTATACAATACAGCTTGATTTTAAAAAGCTTAGAACTTAAATATATATATTTCAGGTTAATTATCATTTGATACATTACACAGATGGTTCTATTTTTGAACATCCTTCCTATTATGGAAGTTAGTTGTGCATCTGAGGAACAAAATGATGTCATGTTAATTGGAACGTAAATATGACATAGAAACAACATGCCAGCAATGCTTGCCTGTGAAATAATATTCTGAGCCCACATGTTCCTGGGCATGTGAGTTTATATCAAGTGAAAAGATTACTTAATTCAAATTAAAGTGTTGGAATTTAAAGATTTATTTGGTCTCCTGGGTAAAGTTTTCCATATATTTATCAAATGGGAAACAATTTTTAAAAAGACAGTTGATTTTTTTTTTTTTGCAGTTTTTGGCTGGGGCCAGGTTTGAACCCGCCACCTCCGGTATATGGGGATGGCGCCCTACTCCTTTGAGCCACAGGCACCGCCCACACAGTTGATTTTTTTGCATTCACTCTAAAGCAGTGGTTCTCAACCTGTGGGTCGAGACCCACAGGAACTGTATTAAAAGGTCACTTAGGAAGGTTGAAAACCACTGCTCTAAAGTGAGTGAATCCAATCATCAACAGTTGTATAAAGCTTATGCAGTTAATTACAGCTGTGAATTAAAAATGGAGTTTGTGGGCTTGGCGCCTGTGGCTCAAGCAGCTAAGGCGCCAACCACATACACCTGAGCTGGCAGGTTTGAATCCAGCCCGGGCCCACCAACCAACCATGAGTGCTGCAACCAAAAAATAGCCAGGTGTTGTGGCAGGCGCCTGTAGTCC